ACACACACACACACACACACACAAATTTCAGATTACCTTAAGTAGGGCCTCCAGGATATAAAATCCAAGGAAAGAACAGTTAGCTTTTATTAATTCTCTCTTATAAATTTTGCTTAAAATGGATATCCAAGAAATTATAATGGGAAATAGATTCATTAGTATCACGAGGTATCCAACATATTCAAATTCATCAGTAAATACTATTTTATGGATTAGATGAAACAAGCAATATCTATATAAAAAAAAAAAGTGAGATCTGATAAAGGAATTACTTTGAATGATTTTCATTACATACTAAGTTCTTTCCCAATTATCAATAGCTACAGAGCCCTGCTTAATTCTGAGAAACAGCTAACACTAGTTAATACTTTCTGGCATCCTGCTTTAGACGTTGTCCACTTAATTCCTTTCTCTGCTAAATAGCTTGAGCTAGTTTCCTCTATATTTTTCTTGTTTCCCACACTCTCATTCTCTTGTTTCCATTTTATTTTTAATAAAGATAGTTTTGAGTATAAGACAGATAATTCAAACTGGAAATATTTTTAAAATGAAAGGATGACCCCTTACAATAATTTCATTTCTCAGACATGACTATTACTAACAGTTGGAATATTCTTTCAGTATTTTTATGTCTATATAATCATTATCTATAAACACAAAAGTAATAATGTCACATATGTTGTTCTGTAACTTGCTGTTTTTTCTCAACATTTTATCATGAGCATTTTCCCTTGTTGCAGCATAAAATCTAACACAAATATGCTAACAGAATAACATGGATCCAAATATTATCAAATTACAAAAAAATTAATCTATGCTTTGAAAAACAGTTTCCATACCAAGTATGTTAGAAAGTGGAATTATACTTGTAGAATTTATTTTGATATTATTTTAAATTATTCATGTAATATAATAGAATGATACATTATTATTATTAAAACTCAAATGAAATGACAAATCAATTGCTTATCAAAGAGTGGAATTTGCTTATTGAAATACTGGATTATTTGCTCATTCTCAAAGGTGGACATGTGTTATGTAGGTTCTGAACTTAGGATTCTATTTAAGAAAAATAAGAAGAAACTACGAATACAGAAACATGTGATTATGTGATCACACGTTGCCAAAAGGGCAGGGAGGCCACATCTTCTGACCTCCTCTAACCCCACAAGAGGAAGACAGAATCACTCACCATCAGTAGCCCAAGGGCTATTCCTGAGAGGCCAGACATGCCGCCTCCCTCCAGCCCTGACTCCAACTGTTCCTCCTGCAGCAACCACCACCTCTCTACTGGGTTTGATAATTTGCTGCAGTGGCCACACAGAACTCACAGATTATGGGGTTTATTAGGGAAGCAACAGGCTACAATTGAAGTTCAGGACACTCTCAGTCTCAGCCCTCTGTCTCTTAGCCAAAGGTCTTTCTCAGTCTCTTTCTCAGCAGTGTATGTTTCTTGTTGTCTCTCTCCCAGTAGTGCATGTCTCTTGGTGTCTCTTTCTCAACAGCATGTGCCTCTCAGGAGCACGTTTTTCTCAGCAGTATGTCTTTGTTGGCCAGCAGTCAGAGAGACTCCTTCTGCCTCTAGGAGGGCTCCTTTTGAGCCTGGCAGAGTGGCCAAACTAACCAATCATAACATTAGAATTCTAAACACCTGAGAGAGAGCAAACTTCTCAGAACATTGCTTTGTGCCACTCTCAACAGAAATACCTCAGGTGGATAACTTTAACAATCAGGAGCTCCTCAGTTGGTCATGGCAAATTCCACTATGGAGTTTACAAAGATTTATGGCTAGAAAAGCCATACCAGGTAATTTAATATACCACACATGTCTGGGGCCTTCCAAGGCCTTGAACAGTGTCTGTGTGAGAGAGAAGCCAGTGGGATCATCCTTGTTAGCTATGTAGTGTTACCACCTCTGCCTATTCTCAGTCTTCTCTCTAGACTAAAGAGCTCTGATGATGCAGTGTCTAAGGCATTTGACTGCTAACCAGAAGGTTGGTGCTTCAAACCCACCAGCCACTCCATGGAAGGAAGACTGGGCAATTTACTTCCATATAGATTTACTGCCTCAGAAACCCAAAGGGGGTTGCTATGAGTTGGAATCGACTGGAGACTGCTTTTCTCAATCTCTTCCAGTAACAATATACATATGGCAAAACACTGCAATTGAGGCTACCTCTTTCTTAAGTTTATCTTTTTTTATATCAGATAAGTGAATTGAAGGAGATATGATAAGGCTAATTATAATTCTTTTAAATCTTTAATGTTGGTGCTAATTTCCATAATTCCTCCTGGGATGTTATATTGCCTTTTATTTGCTATTTTGGCTAGGGGTTCTACATGTCCACTTGGTTCTTCCTACAGTGATCATTCTTATTCTATACTTTAGAGAATCAGTGGGTGTCCTTGGCCAGTTATTAAGAATACCTATCTCAAGTATACACTCAGTGACTGGGGAAACAACCACAAAGTAGATGCATTGCACTCTATGAGACAAGTTGGGACAGAAACTCCTTATGTTCTCTGGCTTGCTAAAAAAAAAATTCACTGCCATAGAGTTGATTCTGACTCGTAGCAACCCCCTTGAGTTTCTGAGGTAGTGTATCTTTACAGAAGTAGATTGTCCAGTCTTCCTTCCACAGAGTGGCTGGTGGGTTTGAACCACCAACCTTCTGGTTAGCAGTCAAATGCCTTAAGCACTACACCACCAGAACTCCTGCTAAAAGCCCATTGTAATTTAAGGCCTATGTTAGTATTGCAAATCTTTGTTCAAAAATGTAAATTCCAATTCCAAAAGTCCTCAAACAGTCTGGGTATTTCCCCCCTTTCCCCCAGTTAACCAGTAACTCTGGTTAAATGGCTGAAGGTCAATTTGAGAAAAATAGAGGGAATAATTATAATATATACTTATATATATACTTGTGGTATTCTTGCAAGGTCCTTTTCCAAGGGCTCCAATCCTGAGAACTGATTTAGACATAGAAAATGGTTGAGGGATCATTAGTTTCATTTGCTTTGACTGATCTCAGCTCTTTGCTCACCAGCTCTTTCTTTGGACAAGTCAAGTAACACCCTAGTTAACTTTTCATCTATATTGTTATTTGACTCACCACTTTTTGTTAACCATTTCCACAAGTCTCTATGAGTCAAGGCACCTGGATTGACATTGTAGGTTTGCTGGCCCAAAAAGAAAGTATGCCTACATTGAGTCTGGCCTTTAAGTGCTGCCATTGAGCTTCTGACATTCCCAAACCTTATCAACTGTTTTTGATACTAGACTAATTACCTGAGAGCTTCTCTACTGTCAATTATGACTGGCAGAGGACATCTATCACCCAGCTTGCCAGAGAGCTTCACTATATAGCTTGATGGCAGTGAGTTTTTTTTTTTTTTTTTTTTTGTAATGACAATATAAAGTATTAGGAGATTGAAGAGGGGAAAAAAAAAAAAAAAAACTTCATGGACCCCACTGGTGTTAAAGACACAGGGTAGATGGGGTAGACAGTTTGGAAGGATTTCAAGGTAAGCGAAAATCTCATAGTTGGAGAAGATTGTATATGGAAACAGATCAGATCTCCCTTAGCTTAAGCTGCTACAAAGTCCAGAAGGGAGAAAGGAAAAGGGAAGAAAAATTCTCTCCATATAAACCAGACCCCAAATCCAACTCATAGCAATGGGCTCAAGTACTATTCTTAGCAACCCTTTTTGATGTGAAGTGGAACTGACTTTTGGGGATTAGGGGCTTGTGGATCTTTGCAGAGGAGGGCTGCCCTTTCTCCTGTGGGCTGCTGGTAAGTTTGAACTGCACGGCTTTGATTGACAACTGAATTCTACCCTCAGAAAACTGGTCCTTCTCCCACAACTGCATCACTGGCTGATCTGTCTCACACTAACCACAAAAAAGCAAGCTTTAGCCTTCTCTCCTGGAGGTCACTTCTTATGCCAATCTCCTTTCTCCTGCGTGGGTGTGCACTCCAGTGAATGAGCAGATTCTGCCACAACTGTCTGCTCTTAGGGCCACTGGCTGACAATAATCAGAAAAATCCCTTCTCAAATACCTTATATTCCATTCATTTTCCAATTTTCCTTTTCTTCAATTTTTCTTCCTTTCTATCTGATCATTTACTCTTCTACCTCTTCATCTTCTTTCATTTTTACCAAACCTTTATCCCTCTCAATACCCCCCACTTTTGTTTCCTCTTTTTCCTTTCCCCCTATTTCTTACCTTCCATTTTCATTCTATCTTTTCATTTCTCTATCTTATACTTAGTTTTCTTATTTTTTTTTCTTTCTCTCTTTTTTTTCCTTGTCTCATCCAATAGGAGGAACACATTAACTCTTCATTAGTCAGGCATATCTACTACACAAACCACTCACTCAACAGACGAGTAACACCAATAGTTCCTGCATCACAGGATCCATGACAGACAGGAAACAACACCTACTCATCCCTACTGAAATTCCCCTTCATGATAAACAGAGACCTACACCCACATTCCCACCAGTTACCCCACCAACACAGAGAAAGCTGGAGAGTGATCCAATACTGCCAAGCTAACAACCAAAGAAGTACACCAGCTCCACACATCTGGATATATTAAAACATAGTAAAACATAAAACCAGGGTCAAACAAATCAGCACATAACCAACAAATAAATACAACAACTTCAAAATGTCTTGGCCACAACAGATACTTTCAACTCAAAGAAAAAAAAATTGGACAAGATGGGAGAAACAAGTGTCCCAAACGAATAATTAGGAAATCTTCCCAAGAAAGGATAAGTAATAGAACTATTGATAAGGAGATATATATATATATATATATATATATATATATATATCTTTCCAAGAGCTCAAGAAAACCATAAACAGAAGGAAGGAGAAGATAGAAAATACCCTTGATGAATTTAGGAAAATCATTCAAGAGTAAAATGACAAAATAAGTACACAATTAGAAATCATACAAAAACAGCAGTTAGAAATCCAGAAAAAGAGGAGGCAAACAAACAAACAAACAAAAACAAAACACTGAGAAAATTTTCGAAGATTTGCTAATAGAAAACTTCCCTTATATTATGAGAGATGAAAAGATATCCATCCAAGAAGTTCAATGAATCCAATACAAGATAGACCCCAAGAGGAAGTTACCAAGATATATCATAATCAAAATTTCCAAAACCAAAGACAAAGAAACTAACTTGGGAGCAGTTTGGGAAAAATGAAATGTTTCC